TCGGGGCACAGAAAATCGAGGATTTAACGGAATCCAAAATTTTTTTCGCAGAACTATTTCAAATAACAAGTAGATTCGTTTTAGCGGAAAAAAATTTTGGGGGTTAGGTGCACTTTAAAGGAAAGTCAATCTAGCATGGAACACAATATGAATGTTTAATGTGGTTGTTTTGGAATGTTTTCAGGCATCACTGAAGTGGAAGCAAAACACTCTAGATCTTTCCAGACAAAATGTGGCATCCCGACTGGCTGCTCTTTCAGCGTCATGTGCTTCAATTGTCACGCTGACTTCAGGTAAACACAGGCTTGCAAAACCATATAAACTCTGAAAATTTTTATCAGTTTTGTGAAAACTGTAATACCCCGTCATTCACCTACCATTTGAAAGAAGCTGACAGAGGTGAAAATCATGTATGTTTGCCCATTTTTAAGAGTATCATAAAAATCAAAAAACATTTTAAGAGCATATGGGTTTGGGGGACATTGTCTCAAGATTAGAGACATTTGTATGAATTTTGAACCATGTTTCAAGGTCTCTAACTTGGTCCCTGTTCACCCTAAAAGCATCAAACTTGGTCAAATGACTACTCTCAATGTGGTCTTTCGTGTGGTGGTGTCAGTTTATCGATTGGTTAAAATTTGAAACTCGCCCCAGTTCCCTGCGCAATTTTGGAATGGCCCATGCTCAGGGTTATAACTAGGAGCGTGAAAGGGTCAAAACAACTGCACCCTTGAACCATATGTAATTCCTGTTCCTGTGCCATCATTTTTGACTGTACTGTACTTTTGTAATGTTCTGTCATGATTCTCCCCCGTGTCTTATTTTAACCATCATTATATGGTAGTCTTATTAACAGACAAATAGAGATGTCAATAGTACTCTGGAAAGAGGAGACTGTTTAAAAGGAGTTGGGATATTCTTATAGCTGTTAACTTTCGATAAAGTGCCTGTACTGAATCTAGTTATGCATAGTGGAATGTATCATGTAATTTGTTACTTTGTTGAGTATTCATAACATTGCATTTCTTATTCAAGGAGAGCCAGAGGAAACAAACTACACTGCTGCTGGGGCAGCTGTGAATACCATGTAAGTTCATCTCCCTCTTAACGGTAGTGTTGTTTGTACATTTTATCAGTCATGTACTAGCTATTTTGCCTTGCACTACTATGGTATAAATATTATTTATGACTAGGAAGGACACATTCTCTGTTGTTTAGAGCCTTCTTACTGTACAACTGTACAGTACTTGTATGGGTGTATATATGTATAGGGGTAAATGGATTTGTAATAAGACTTCAAGATTTGGTCTTCCTACAGCAAACAGTTCAGGTGTGTTGTTTGGTGTAATGTGACTTGCATAATATTGGAACACTGTTTTTGTTTTCAACATGTATTGTTGTTTTCTTGTATGATATCTACTGAAACGTTGCAACTGCATAACTGACTTTAACCTTTTCCTTCAGCTCATCTAACTTACAAGACTTATCAAAAGGAATCAAAATGATTGCTGGTTTACTGGATGATGACGATGATGGTAAGAACCTTCTGGATGCTACACGAGGCTTGGCAGGTGCCTTTTCGAATCTTCTGAAAGCTGCCCAGGAAGGAGGCGGAGCAGACAGTGAGGTTAGTAAGATAGCCAACTTTTCCTGTCATGGATTCTACAGATTTATTTAGTTTTCATTGTCATCAATTTCCATTGATTGCCTTGCAATCAGCACATACTTTTCACTTTTTAGTCTAGAGGCAAGTTGTTGTCAGCTGCTGGCAATGTGGGTTCATCTGGAGCAACACTGTTGCAGTACATGGGTGAACCAGAAGTTGATCAACAAACTCAAGTAAGTTCAAGACCATGTCATGCATCTGATATTAAAGATAAGTGATAGATAGGCACCTCAAGTCGCATAACCTTTGATTTGACTAGTGCCCCCAAGACTTTTAGGCCTCACTTGCTTGTGGTGCCACGCTCCCCTTCAAGGGATGTCACTCAGATATTTTTTGGGAAGGGTGGTACAAATGTAACTTGGGAATCAGAAGGGTTTTTAACAACTTTTTCAACTGGTTTATGGTAGAACACACTAGGGAGCTTGGTTGAGTGATAAAGAGTGCCTGACTTGAAATTCAGAGATCACTGTAGGTTGACGGACCGCTAGTTGGAGTTTTTTCCTAGTTCAGCTGCTTAGCCAACTGGTTTGCCTCCTACCATTAGGAGTTTTGACCTTGTTATCTTAATTTTAGAAGGTTTTTTAGAAGGTTTCTTAGAAAGATTTTTAGAAGGTCAGCCATGTGAATCAGCACTTGTGCTAAATTACTTACAGAGCATTAAGAAATGTCCTAATTTATCAATGCAATCTCTTAGACATAACATTAGTCTGGTGTATACATACAGTATCTACAAAGACTATACCAAGTAGATTGTTCAACTGACCTGTTTATTAAACACAGGAAATGTTACTGGCTCTGGCTCAAGCTGTGGCTAATGCAACAGCAGCTCTGGTCCTGAAAGCCAAGAATGTCGCTAGTCAGTCTAATGACACTGGAGCTCAAGGCAAGGTGATCACTGCAGCAAAGGAGACAGCCAGAACCACAGCGCAGCTGGTAGCTTGTGTTAAGGTGGTTGTTCCGTCCATAAGCAGTCACATGTGCCAGGAACAAGTTGTCGAAGCTGCAAAACTTGTTGCTACAGCTGTCAATGACACTGAAGGAGCTTGTAAGGTAAGTTTTCAGACTGATCTGGTAAAATTTTAGATACTCTTTGGCATGTAGTTTGAGATTTTGTTTTTCATACAGTGTCAAACTTATCTTGTGGAATAAGGTCCTTCAAGAGGGAGATTATTTCTGGTAATGAGATCCATTTAACTAACACCACACAGCTCTGATGTCGTGCAGTGGAAAATAGTACCACAAAACCGATGCTTGTAGGGCTAGACGGGCTGTGAGCTGATCCAAAGTATCTGGCTTTCTGTCATTTTGCATAGACTTTGTAATGCATATGCCTGGTGATTCCATGATCTTGAGTAAAAATATTTTTTTCCATTGAACCCTCCCATATAGTCAGTAAATGTATGGTGTTCCTTATGACACTATTTTTTTGGCTGTTTATGATAAATCTGTTATAATCCCAGGAAGCAGCTCCTGAAGAATCTGACTTGCTACGAGAGCTAATGACAGCAGCGCAGGCTGTACGGGACGCTTTGAATAGTCTGCTGGTGAAAGTGCGAGATGGAGGCTGGGATGCTCAACAAGCTGGACAGTATGATGCAGCATGTGATGACATTTTAGGAGCTACAGACAGACTGTTTAACAGTATGGGGAATGCAGGAGAGATGGTTAAACAGGCCAAGATCTTAGCTCAGGTGTGGAAACTATACTGTAGTTAAGAAATGAAATGCCATGTCTGAGGAGACTTGACAGTACAATTTGCATACCCTCTGGTTATTTCTCTTGAATATTCTTACTATTTTGAAAACTTTTCTGTAATCCAATCGGGCTTGGTTTCCTAATTAAAGATTGTATTCGCATGGTTAGATTTTATTTACACCCTGAGATTATATCCATCTTGAACAGAGTTTTTACTGTGTGTGGTAGAGAATGGTGGGCTGTCAAACCTGCCAAAATGCAGAGACCATCATATTTGAGCTTGCTAAATTTGAAAGATCAAATGTAACATGTTAAACTCCCAAGACTTGAACCATTTCACAGCTTTCAAATACCAGTTTCCCCCCACCCCATCTTCAGTTTTCAGTGATTTATGGAGGCTAAGTGAGGGTTGTGCATTAATAGGACATTACTTGTCGACATCTTGTATCCTATACAGGCATCATCGTCATTGGTAACTGGAATCAAAGCAGAAGCTGAAACCGAGGATGACTCAGACTCACAGAAACGTCTCTTAGCTGCTGCAAAGGTGTTAGCCGATGCCACTGCAAAACTTGTGGAAGCAGCAAAGGTTTGTTCATTTCAAGTAAAATGTAGTCTTGTAATTTTTCATTTTGTAAGAAGGAGTATACAGTGTAAACACTTTAGAGACCATCTCAGGCAATTACAAACTTCTTTTGATGGGTGAACAAACCTAAGGTGTTGCAGGGCATGTTTTGATAATTATTGGAAATATAGGATGATAATTTGGGTGAAGCATTTCAGAGAATGAATGCATGCATGTACAGATTACTACTGTGCTAAACCAAGTTCATTGCATCTGAATGTAATAGCAATGGGAGACTGAGGTTACATGTAAGTTGTTGCTTATACAGCATGGTTTTAGATTATGGAAATGTTAATACATATGGAATGACCATCAGTTTATAAAATAATTAATGTCTGTTTGACACAGGGAGCAGCCAGAAACCCTAATGCTGCTGACCAGCAGCAGAAGCTCAAACAGGCAGCAGAAGATTTGAGATCAGCAACAAATGCAGCAGCCAGTGATGCATTGAAAAAGAAGCTGGTCAAAAGACTTGAGGTGATTCTCATGTCAAATGTGTCAATCTTAAATCTCACTGAGTAATGGCTTGGTGTAAAGCATATGCAGTTCTTGTCATTGTAGAACAGTCTGAGTCTCAGTTAAGTTGTCTGCTAGAGATGACAGGGTCCCATAGGCTTGGATCATGTCCTTCAGCGCATCTCCCATCTTAGGTCACTTCATCGATTAGTTATCACTACAGCACCATAGTTAGTTCTTTTTTGGTGTGAAGGAAACAAAAAGTGTGTGTATTTTATCTGTGGCAGTCAGATATAGATTTTAGCAAATTTTGTTCCTATTTTGGAGCCTGATTAAACAAAGTCTGACCTATTGATTTGCCTTTATGATGAAAAACAATGCAAAACAATTTTTGAGACAGTTACATCTACCTGCTACCTGCCTAAGCTGAATAGCAACCACAGGTATAAGATAAATAGATTGCAATTGTTTGCAGTGGATAAGTTGTATGTGTTCTGTCTGTTCTATTAAGCCAAGACATTAATTCTCTTGAATGGTAGATGGAAAGGACCTTCAGTAACTTTTGAGTAACTATAACTTACTATAGTAAACTATACCATAACTTTTTAGTAACTAAACAGATAGTTGGCTCGAAAGCAGCATTGCTTTTCCTTGATTTTTTTATCCTGATGATGTTTGCTCGCCAGCGATCAGTGAGAACAATATTTTTTTTTGTTATTGTAAGGCGGCAGCTAAAGAGGCAACTGGCCAGGCTACTCAGCTAATTGCTGCAGCTCGCAGTGCAGGGCCATCTAATCGGAATCAGGCATCACAGCAACAGCTGAATGACCAGTGCAAAGTAAGTCTCATGATTCTCCTTGCTGGTGCCATGCATCTCTGTTATAATGTTAGTTCTAAGAATGTGGTTGTATATCAACACTGTAATTATGTCCTTTCATTGATGGTCTTTGTTTTTTCCTAGTGTCAACTGTCTGCTTTTGATTGAATTGATGTTGTGCTGGAGAAATGAAAATTAGCAACTCCTAGAAATCAGGCTCAAGGATCGTAAAGAGGAAATCTATACTTGCCTTGTCCTTTGCCTTAAGAACATGCGTACACATTTTTAAGTTTGGAGAGTGCTACATTTGATAAAATACCGTTGTGAAAGGATTATTGCTTGCTTTTGGTGAACATAATATTTGGCAATATTCCTTTTCAGCCAGTAGAAGAACACATCAACCAACTTGTTGAAGCTCTTAGAGACACTGCAAGAAATCCTGACATTGCTGCTCCTCAGTTGGCTCTGATAAATGCCTCAAAAGAGTTTATTCAGGTAGACGAACTATAATTTTAAGGCCAGTCACTGGTGTATCATAAATAAATTACGTCTATACTCGTAATTATCACAAACTTGCACAATTTTTTTTCTTTTCCATGAAGTGTCTAAAAGGTGTAATATGCATTTATTTTTATAGCCAACATCAAAGCTGGTTGCCAACTCTAAAGCTGCACTTCCAACCATCGGAGATCCAATCACAGCAACACAGCTGGCGAACTTTGCCAAGTCAACGGGCTCCTCACTGGGAGACTTACGAGATGCTGCAGATAAGGTGAGAGTGGTTTACTATGACTGGTGAATAGGTATCTTTCCTCCCTCCTTCCCCCATGTTTGATTCTTTCATTGTACCATATTTTTTATTTGGTTGGTCTCTCGTGTCCATTCATGTCTTTATTTTCAGTTGCTTGCTATCACTTTCATCTTTTTGGTCGTTGTTATTGCCAATTCTTAGTCAGCTTGAATTCGTTAAATTAGAGTTATGTAAGGAGCTTCTGGTACATTTGACAGAATTTATTTTCTATCTTTAATGCCGAGTTTCAAGGTGATAGCTGTCAAAGCGTATTTTGTTCTCTAATGAAAATATTATGTGTGTAGCGCTGTTTTGGTGATGTTAGGAAAAAATGACATTGTATAATGTCCTGTTCTTACTTTGCAGGCTGCAGAGGCCTGTGGAACACTTGAGATTGATAGTGCTTTGGATACAGTTGGTTCTCTTGGTCGTGACTTGGAGGCATATGAGAAGAGTGCTGAGGATGGAAAACTGCTTCCCTTACCTGGAGATACTGTAAGTTAAACAGGAAGACACATAATTTTGAACACAACTTTGTCTTTGTCTCAATTTTGCTTTGTGAATTTTTTCTGCTATTTCTACAAGTTTGTAAGTTCTGAATGTTTCCTTGTCATCTTCAATTCTCAGGCAGAATCTTGTGGTCTTGAACTTGGTGCCACATCAAAGTCTGTTGGATCGTCAATGGCACAGTTGTTAACTGCTGCTTCACAGGTAGCTGAATAAAGTCCCATTGTTTTCTTGATCCTGCTAGATAGTAGTCATTTTTTATGTAAAATATCGTGTTGTTTTGGACTGAAATTGTTTGTGAATCTAACTAATCATGAAAATTGATGCAACATTCGTTTTTGCTGACAGGGTAATGAAAGCTACACAGGTATTGCAGCAAGGGACACAGCCAGCGCCTTGCGTGTTCTGACGGCAGCAGCCAGGGGTGTTGCAGCAACAGCAGATGACAGAGCCTTGCAGATGAATCTTATCAAGGCAACCCAGGCTGTAGTTGCTGAGTCAGCAAAATTAATTCATGAGGCAAAGAATGCAGTGAACAATCCTGGAGACCCTAACAACCAGCCCAGACTAGCACAGGTAAGTACTGTGGTACTGTCTTCAGTAGGCAGGCTTCACTAAAACAAGCAGTGAGGAACTTAGAAGTGTTGTGATACGTTTGTTACAGTGTTTGATAAATACAAGAACACTGTTGTCGTGTTCAGGAAAGAGATAGGCTGGAGGGGACTCCCATATGAAAAGAACGGGGGTGCTCGTTGGAAATTTTGAAAAGAACCCCCAAGAGGCACCAAGATTCTGCTTTATGAGCGTGCTTGAAATGTTTTTTGCCCCTGAGAGGTACGAATTGTAAAACAACACATTATTTCCTATCGTATGTTTTCGGCTCAGTACCCTTAAAGGTACCCCAAAGAGGTACCAAAACCGCGTTTTTAACTTCTAAAAGGTAAAACAAGCACCCCCATCCTTTTATATGGGAGTACTTCCAGGGAGGGATAGTCATTAAACCTTATTGACTGGAGTCTTTCTGAAAATAGGCTGTGTAGTCCGAGTTTTTAGTTTTGCATAACATGACTACCCAAAGAATATAAAAAATTTTAAATGACATGTAGAATTTTAAAACCATGCTGAATTTTTTAGGTAATCAGAGAGTGCAATTAAGGATTTACGCTATTAGTCATATTTGAAAATTCTCTTATAATTGCATTAGCGTTTAGCTAGGGAGTGCAATTTGAAATAATTTCCAAGTATCGCTCTAATTGGACCAGCTTTCATATGAACATGTGCCCGTTGATTTCCACTGCAGTATTTTACAAAATTTGCTCAAACCATATTTGACTTGTTCTTTTCTTTTGTCAAGTCCTGCCCCAAAATTTCATTAAAACAACACTCTCTCTCTCTACGTAGGCTGCAAAAGATGTGTCCCACGCATTAAACAACTGTGTGAACTACTTGCCTGGTCAAAGAGATGTCGATGAAGCTATAAAGGCCGTGGTCAACTCCAGTCAGAGTTTAGCCATAGAGGATGTGAGTTGAATGTAGCGGTGCTTGGCCTTATTAACTTACTGTAGTTTAAGACTATCATGCAGACAGCTCTTTCCCTTCTATACACACACGTACTATTCATTACCAGACTCTCTTGATCCTTCAAGGTGGTGACCGTGTCAAATTCCCTACCCTGGGACATCACATACAATCGAAATCTCTACCCACGGAACAGACTTCACAATCAAATTTCGTGAATGGCCCGCCCTGCCCCCTTGGGCTTGGCATTGATCAGTGCATTAGCCAATCAGAGCATGCATTACATTGGCAACAAAACATCGTATCTCCTCAGCTGAGCACCCTTTTAAGTATCCTTTCAATCCAGGTCGTCTTCGTGGGATTCCTTTTTCCATTATTATTATTGTAGTGCTTATAAGTTGTCACCAATTACCATGCTACTTTGGAAGGTTTTTGACTGAGGCTGGATGCTAAACCAACAGACAATTTATTTTTTGTTACCTAGTTCCCACCCACCTCCGAAGGGTACCAAGTGGTCCAGGAGAAGCTCAGTATGACAGGTGCAGCCCTTAATGCGGCAGCTAGTGACATGGTGGCAGCATCACGAGGAACATCCAATCAACTGGCTGTGTCCACTAAGAAGTTTTCACAGTCTTACCAAGATCTGCTGGACAGTGGAATGAAGCTTGCTGGGCAGGCCAAGGTATGATGTTTCTTTGTTGTGGTTTGGCTTAGAGCTTACCCATGCACAGCCTTCACTGAAATCCTAATTACTCAGTGATGTGACATGAGATAGGACAACCTTAGTGGGTAATAGTAAAATATTTCTCATGAAACTTGCGGTTCATGAAAAATTGAGATAATCGATTAAAGTTGTGTCAACAACGTTTAAAACAGCTGCTTACAGTGGACAAAAAATTCAAGCATTGACAAAACCTTGCAAAAGCAGCAATACGGTAGAACTCTGATTACTTAAGTTACGAAGGGAAGAGAAAACGCTGTAGTCAGCAACTTGTAAATTCACAGTTTAAGTGGCCACTTGAGAATCTTTACCTTAGCAAGCAGTTTAAGTATATTTCGTTAACATGATTCTGTCAGTGGCTGGTTTCACTGTGTTTATTATATACATTCCTTTTGAATAACACAACAGTGTGGCATCATTAAGTTTACTGTAAAGCTTTATTGTAATTCTAGGATGATGCAGCTAAAGATTCTCTGGTACGCAATCTGAAAAACACTTCAACAGCATCCAGTAAACTCCTTCTGGCTGCTAAATCCTTGGTGTCAGATCCAAATGCACCTAATGCAAAGAATTCATTGGCTAATGCTGCAAGGTATGTACATGTGCATATGACTTTCAGTGTACCAGCTCGGGGATCAGCAGTGTATGTGTTTATTCCTGTTGTCTCTCAGTTTTTAACAACAATCGATACAAATTTTAGTGAAGAGTGCTATTGTATTCTTTTGTTTAAATACTCCCACTCGAATGTTACGTTTCGTACACGTCCATTTTACTGAAATGAGTGTCTCGCCGACCTTGCTTCAAAACGCGTTTTGTATCCCAGCTGTCTAAGACAGTTGGTATGACAGCTGTGAAGTTTTTATTCATGTAAGCGGTTGTTTTCCTTATGTTACAGAGCTGTGACGGACAGTATAAACATGTTGCTAAATGCTTGTATGTCCGCTGCTCCTGGACAAAAGGAATGTGACAATGCCTTGAGAAATATTCAGGTATGAACATACTGTGTAGTTTCTAAAATCATTTCATTGCCTACATTTAAGGTTCTCTGACATCAATACCCAGACACAAAAAAGCTCGAAAGGGGAGGGTGAAGTAACAGTTAATTGAACATGTTCCCCTTGCTATTCATGATCACCATACCTGTAACCTCCATTAAGCAGACACTCTTCCTCTCATTTTCTGCTCATTTTCTGACTTTTACCCCTTAAAGGATGATTAGCTAGTACCTTGCTGTCACTAACATTTTCTGTTTTACTTTGTAGGCTGTCAGTAACATCCTGGACAATCCTGTTGAACCTGTTAACAACGACACGTTCTTTGACTGTCTGGATAAAGTCACTCGCAAGTCTCAAGTAAGTTGAAGTCTTCAATGCTGTTAAACTACTCTGGGTACATTCATACATGTACTTACACAATACAGCCACAGACCTGTTTGACCTGCTTCCCTTGGCAAAGAGTTTCACAGCTTTTCTAGCAAGATTGCCAATGTAAACCCTCATTACTTCCTATTCACTTCTTGCTTGGCTATTCGTGAAGGAAAATTAGAGACTACTAGTAGACTACTAGTAGACTACTACAAGTGTCCAAAACGCTAACGCGAATAAGCTACAGGGCGTGTTGTGATTGTTGCAACATTTTAGTTTACCTTTCCTAAATGCTGACTTGTATAAATTATGCCATTGAGTGCATGTCGCCATTTTCCCAAATTGCAAGACGAAAAGGTGGTGTCGGCACATGTATTTTTGTTTTTATGAGTATCAGAAGTGTACATTTTTTTAAGTGCTTCAACTGATTTCAACGCAACTTCCGTAGACCCAAAGTTTTTGTCTTTACTTTTATTATTACAATACCTTTTTTCCAAGACTTCATCTGATTGAAATTTTATTGCAGGACCTAACAGAAGCCATGCCTAGAATCTCCAACAGTATCAAGGCTGGTGACTTCAATGAGTTTGATGATGGAGTTAAAGATGCCTCAGGAGCTGTTTGTGCACTAACAGAGTCTGCTGCACAGGTCTGTCTTTAACTTGATTCCAATGCGTTTTGGAGAGCAAATACAAAAACATACACAGGACGTGAATAGTGGGAGCTTCCTAATATATCTTTTTTTGAATTTAGCTATTTTATAAGCTGTTTTATAGTTCAGGGATTGATACAGTCCAGAACATTTAGACATGAACTATGTCCACTTCTGAATGGGTGATATGAATGTTTTCAGGCTGCATACCTTGTGGCAGTAGCTGATCCGTCGAGTGTGGCAGGAAGACCAGGTCTGATAGATCAGGCGCAGTTTATTAACTCTAAACAAGAGATCGTGGACGCTTGCGAGAGTCTTCTCAACCCAGAGGCCAGCCAGCAGCAGGTAGTGTTCAACCTCAAGATTTTTCACGTGATATTCGTCACTACTAGTATGATGTGAAGTGTACAGTTGAAATTGGCTCACCAAATCTACTGAATGGTTTGTTTTACACAGTTCCAGGTCTGAGCAAAGCGTAAATCAACAATAGACTTGAATAAAAAGTCTAACTATTTCCTCCAAAGTGCCTGATCATAAAATTCCACTTAAGTGACGCCATATTCTGACTGATTGTGCTGTACTGTTCCCTTGAGTTTATGTATCCTTCGCTCGGTAAACTAAATTCATTTTTGACTCCTCAACCAAGTAGTTTAGTGATTGTATTCTTGTGTTAACAGGTCCTTGGAGCAGCTACATCTGTCGCCAAGCACACTTCAGCTCTGTGCAATGCTTGTAAAGCAGCGTCTGCTAAAACCAATAACCCTGCAGCCAAGAGACAGTTTGTGCAATCAGCAAAGGATGTGGCCAACAGCACAGCTTCTTTGGTCAAGAACATCAAGGTTTGTACTTTATAATTAGCTTGTTAGCCAGACTCAGCTGCCGTTTAAGACTGCCCGACTACACTAGTAGTAGCGTCCTACGCAGACGCTCTTTGGGGTCGTCATGCAATCTTCCTCCCCCATGAAGGGAAAGGAAGATTGCGCGACGAGCCCAAAGAATATCTGTGTAGGAGGCTAGACGGCTTCGTCTGCGACGCAGGCCTCTTTCCAATTTTGTCAGAACTGTCACGCCAATGTTTCATCCAAGGTACACTATCACGCAACTGAATTCTTGTTACTTTTCGTTTCAGGTGCTTGCCAGTGACATGTCTGATAACAACAGAGAAGCATGTGCAGCAGCAACCAAGCCTCTCATCGACAGTGTGGAGAGTCTCACTGCTTATGCACTCTCCCCAGAATTTGCTCCAATACCTGCGAAAATCAGTGATGAGGTGAGAAAACGTTTTTGATCTCGTGTGTTTTCACAGTGTTGAGTTGTGCACACAGTTATCTTGAATAACGAAAAGAACGGTGACTCTTTAGTCTTCTCCATCCTTATACATTTCTCTGAGTGGTCCAAAATTTCATTTCTCTCTACTGTGCCAATACATTTTCAATCATACCGGTGATAAGAATTAACAAAGTCATCATTCAGCGATCTTGTCTCATTCTGGAACTACATTGTAGCTTTAAAAAGAATTGTGTGACAATTATAAGTAACGAGAATTTCTGTCTTGAGCATTACTGAAAAGGTAAAAGTCTCCTAACATTTTGTACAGTGGAATCCCGATTTTTCAATTCTCCCGTTAATTCAGACCTAAAATTGTTTCCCCCTCCTCAGTCGAACATTTTAATTTTACTCCCGATTTCTCGATCTACCCGATTTTTCAAACCAATTTTCGTTCCCCTTGGGAGGTTCAAGAAATCGGGATTCCACGGTATTGCACCCTCTGTTTTCACAGATATCTTCTCATTCAGCATTATACTAAGTCAGAATATGCGGTGAAAACAGCCTGAAAAGACCTATTTAGGTAGTTCATTTAGTGTGATCACCCGAGTGAGGTTAGCCCTGAAAAGAACTGTTATTGGTGGCTTGTGTTTAGATTCTCGGAAGTCGTCAACAAAAAGTTCTTTTGAGGGAATAGGCAAGCCTCTCTCAGAGAATTATTTGGCAAACGATAGGAGAAATGCATACCTACAAATCATTGAACGAGGGTGTTCTATTTGCAGGCTCGTTCAGCTCAGGTTCCTCTGATAATGTCAGGAAAATCTATGGCCACGTCAAGTTCAAACTATTTCAACGTAGCCAAAGCACTGGCTGTGAATTCTAAAGACCAAAACGGATTGCAGCAGCTCGCTCAACAGGCCAAGGCTGTGTCGGACGCTATGCGGAGACTTATTACAGCAATCAAGTGAGTTTGAATTTATCTTGCTAGACTGCTTGCATGCACTCAGGTTACAGTAGGACATCTTGTAGTCATTGGGTAGCCTGAAATGTCAGTCTTCTTCCGCCCTCAGCCTAATCTCCGGCCCGGGGATAAGGCTGAGGGTGAGAGATTACTGACATTTCAGGCTATCATGGGGGTTTCCTTCGGCTGATCTCAAGCCCACTTTTCAAATTCCCTGTTGGAAACTGAGAGCAAGTGGTCAAGAAGTGTAAAGTATAACCGAGTAAGTGATCCTCTTTTAAACAAAGAATATACCAAGCTTTATTCGACGGTTTGGTGTAATGTTTTCAGGCATTCTGCGTCATCCGTTCCTCATAATGGGCTCTTCATTACTCAGGATGTAACAGGCTCCACCAGAAACGTTTGCTGAACCTGTTTATATTTATTATTTCAGAGACAATGCTCCTGGGCAGAGAGAATGCGACGAAGCCTTGGAGCAAATTAACTATACAATAAATCAGTTGGACCAAGCATCTCTAGCAGCTATCAGTCAGCAGCTGGAACCAAGGCCTGAAAACACTCTACAGGTGAGCTATAAATGCATATAAACTGTTCTATCTAAATATTTCCCCTGTAAGTCTTTTATATTGTTTAAACAAGGTAGACCATGGATTATGGAGCACTGAACGAGAGCAAGTGACCTTTGCGCAGACGTATCCTGTTTCCCTTTATCATCCTTTGACACTTATCTGACCCAGGAAAGTGATCCCGAGATGTCAAAGCAGAATGCTAGCATTCCATTGATTAGTTACGTTTGGTGTTTGTCCAGTCTTCAAATGTTGTAAAATAATGCGACTGTAAATTCCTTAAGAACACGGCAGAGCACAGCCCTTTTAACTTTACTAGTGGCATGACGAGATTTTTTCGTTGTATCTCTTCTCGTTTTCCCTTACATTTTGCATGTTCATAATTATGTAGGCTCTGAGACTTTCCGTTGGTCTGGAACGGTAATTTAAACAGTATTTTTTTGTCGTTAGGGTTTCCAGGAGCAAATGATGCAGAACCTTAGTCAACTGTCAGACGTTATTGATCCATTAGCAACAGCAGCCAAGTCTGAACCTGAAAACATTGGCCACAGGGTACGTGTCAACGGTGTTGTCCCTTAGGTCTCGTCCACACAACGCTGGAGGAATTTGAAAACGGAGTTTTCACTCTGAAAATGCATCAAATATTTTCCGTCCACACTTACCCGGAGGATTTCAAAAACGCAACAGTCACCGGTCATTTTTGGATTTGTTTGAGGAAAACTCGATTAGGAAAATCACATGATTATCGTAACGCCATCATTTTCGAAATGTTTTCCGTCCACATGAAAGCGAAAAGCTGGCGTTTTTAAATACCTCCGGTTTGAAGAGCATTTTCGAGAAGCTTGGGGGATTAGTGTGGACGGTAGGCCTAACCTTAGAAATAAAGCTGCGTTTTCAAATTCCTCTGGCGTAGTGTGGAGAGGGTCAGTCGCGTGGAGATTAGAAGAGACACTCGGTATTATATCATACCGCAGTAATGTATACACCAGTGAGGATTGCCGTAAATGATAGTTAATCCGTCAAGTTATTCAGCTTATTGATATGTGTAATTACTGTCAATCTTAGGTAGCCCAGGTGTCGAGTTTCATTGCTCCGCTGGCCGACCTGGCTGTGGGCGCAGCGTCACGCACGGCTGATGTACAGCGCAAGGTGGACTTGTTAGATCAGGCCAAGACTGTGGCTGAATCAGCAGCACAACTTATGTATGCTACTAAAGAAGGCGGAGGAAATCCACAGGTGATAAGATATTTACTTTTCCGAAACCCTTAAGTGCATAGTACGAGAGTCGATAACCTCTTACTACGTACTATCGGTACTCTTGCGCAATGTTGACAGCAGTTATGGTCATTTGGTTCGTTGAACACTACTTCCTAGAGAGACGTTACGTGACGACCCAGATAGCATTAATTTTGCGATATGGCTGTTACTGCTGTAGGTCAATTCTTGTTCAAATATCTTTTCACACTACTCCCCTGGATTGAAAGGGAACCATTTATCAATCTTCCGATTGAAATGTGTTTTCAGTGTCAAGTTTAAATGCGTTTATTAAGTATAGGTAGAACCCGCCAGCCTAAGAAGTAAAGTCGTGCAAGAGCACGGGAGAATGTCTTCAGTCACTCCTGGAGTTCTACAGTCGAGGCGTCCAAACGTTTTGCAGCGAAGTCTAGTTGCCGTCAAGGAAACCGTTAGAACGGAACAGAATGTTTTTGTTTGAAATAAGCCAATTTTGTTAGATTGAAATGGCACCAAGGCTTAGGAGACTGGAACAAAAAAAATGTTTAGTATTTCTCGATCTCGATGTGATTTTCTCGAGACATTTAGCACCAGTGTTTTCATGTTAACCGTAAACAGCAAACGGCAGTTTTAGGTTAGGCGTTTGCCGTTAGATGTTTGCATTGCGACCTCTATCGCTTTAGCTACGAAGACGTGGGAGAGTTATTTCACTTAAAGAAACCGNGATTGAAAGTGAACCATTTATCAATCTTCCGATTGAAATGTGTTTTCAGTGTCAAGTTTAAATGCCTTTATTAAGTATAGGTAGAACCCGCCAGCCTAAGAAATAAAGTCGTGCAAGAGCACGGGAGAATGTCTTAAGTCACTCCTGGAGTTCTACAGTCGAGGCGTCCAAACGTTTTGCAGCGAAGTCTAGTTGCCCTCAAGGAAACCGTTAGAACGGAACAGAATGTTTTTGTTTGAAATAAGCCAATTTTGTTAGATTGAAATAGCACCAAGGCTTAGGAGACTGGAACAAAAAAAATGTTTATTATTTCTCAATCTCGATGTGATTTTCTCGAGACATTTAGCACCAGTGTTTTCACGTTAACCGTAAACAGCAAACGGCAGTTTTAGGTTAGGCGTTTGCCGTTAGATGTTTGCATTGCGACCTCTATCGCTTTAGCTACGAAGACGTGGGAGAGTTATTTCACTTAAAGAAACCGCCATATTAAATTTCCAGACAACAGCAGTGTTTGATTTCCAAATGGCAACAAAAAGATATATTCTAACTTTTTGGCTAAACATTTAATCTAAACCTGTACTAAAAACACTGGTGTACTGATTTTCACACTGAGCACGTGGCATAAACAAATTCAGGATAAAAAACGTTCAGGTAAATCACTTAGGTGAAAACCTACTTCTCGGCGTTGAAAACCCGCGTTGCGTACGGTAGTACTCAACGCGGGTTTTCAACGCCGTTTGCCGTTTGTGGTATCCTCTGAAAACAGTGGTGCTAAGTGTCACCTATGTTGGTATAATTCCCTGTTAGAGCTGAGGTTGCTTAATGTGCTTAAATATGATGCATGTTTCAGGCTGTCGACATCCATCCAGACATCAATGAAGCCGCTCAAGGAATGAAGGAGGCTGTCCGGGATCTTGGACAGACACTTGAAGAGGCCGCTAGTGAGACTGGTGTGGTGTCTGGCTTGATTGACAGCATAGGGAAAGCACTTGCCGAGGTGAGATCTCATTTTATCTGACATGCACCAACAAGTCCAACAATGACTGAGAGCTGTTTTTGGGTGGCAAACTGAACCAGTGACACATCGAATGAAGAAAAGAGGACTTGCAGAAGTTTGAACATTTTGGATTTGAATATGACCGCTAGTCCAAAAATCAATCATCTCTCTTATCGAATTTGAAAAGTAATGTAAAGTGTTAAATCTGTATACGAGCCGAGTGACCCATCATGTCGGTGGTTATTCCTGTCAGGGTATCATGAAACGATTAGGGGTATTTCTTTTTCCCCTGAATGGCATGCTAGTCCACCACAGCGCTATCCCCTAGTGTTAACTTCGCCGGTACCCGTTTGTACACCCTGTTGGAGAGAGGCCCCGTGAGAGTAAAGTGTCTTGTTCAAGAACACAACCCAGTGTCCCCGGCCAGGGCTCGAACCCAGACCGCTCGATCCGGAAGCGAGTACACTAACCATGAGGCCAACGCGCCTCCATAACTTTGAAAGGATACATACTTTCGGTGTCAATATTTTGCGACTTTTGGTTGTTAGATTGACCAGCCCCAGAATGATCGAGGAGATAGTGCTGATGTGATCGATGAACCGTTTGTGAATTATCAAGAGAGAATGACACGTGCCATGAAAGAACTGACCAAGAAAGGTCATGACATGGTGAGTAAAACGGAACACATGGAGTTTGTCACTTTATGTCCAACGTCTCTCTTGCNCCGTATTCGCACTGGTGTCCAAGGGCTGGGAGAGGCGTGTATTAGCTTGATTCAGAGTGGTGGAGCAGTACAGAGCAGCCCCAAAGATCCTTTCTCTAAGAGAGAACTAGCGGAAAATTGCAGACATGTGGCTGAAAAGGTGACTTTTTATAACATTTGTTACAGCGTCTAACCTTTGTTTTACTTGGTACTGTTTCCGCTTGGTTCTATCGGATCAGGAACAAAATCAGACATAAAAAAATCTGATGCAGTGCTCAGTTTCACCCGCGCTATCATGGTTTATTAAAACATTAAAACCTCATTCGTATGTAAGTTCCAAACTCTTTATTTCTTTTTAGGTGTCTCATCTCTTAGCAGCCCTGCAACAAGGTTCCCGTGGTACCCAGGCCTGCATCAACGCTGCCAGTGCGGTGCAAGGAATTGTGGGCGACCTGGACACCACCGTGATGTTCGCTGCGACTGGAACGCTGCACCCAGAGACCGAGGGCGACACATTTGGGGATCACAGGTTGGTGTAACGCACGAACAAGCAACTTCTGGTACATTATACCTCGTCACATGAAATTTTCGTGCTTTTCACGATTTCCTTAGGATCACAAACATTTTATGTCATTATTACGCTTAAAAATTTTGAAATTAAATGTGCGTGGCGGCGTGGTTAAGGTTCAGTTAAAATCGACGCACCTGCTGGCTAGGAGATTCCTTCGAAGAAATCAAGAACTGTGGAAGGAAGAAATGTCATTTGTTAGATAGATCCCAACATCGCGAATGTAGAACTCACCTGACAACTTCGTCTCTCATAGTTCTTGCATTTTGATCTATCGTTGTTTGAAAGTTTCATGACCTTTCGTTTAATGGTTGTCTTCTCTAGAGAGGCTATCCTTCGTACGGCCAAGACTCTTGTAGAAGACACCAAGAATCTAGTCTCCTCGGCACAGGCATCCCAAGATGTGCTGGCCACGGCTGCCCAGTCTGCGGTTGGCTCTGTATCTAAGTTAGCTGATAATGTCAAGCTTGGAGCTCTTGCTCTTGGACCAGATGACAGTGACGCACAGGTAAAAATCTTCTCAGTTAAAATTTGGAGATCTCCGCGTTCTCTCTACTCTTTAGCAATAGATTTGTCTGCTATCTCTTTAGAAGGGTTTTGGTCCACTACTGAAAGCAAACTTACCATTGGTGTGCTTCATTAAATCCCAGCCATTGTCTTCTATAAACACATTCATGTTGAAAAGGAATCCTGTGAGACACGTTTGGACTCCTTCGTAATCCTTGATGGAGATCCTCCCTCACTGACTCAATTAAAAATGTGGGCAAAATGAACATGTATAAACAGAATACTTTAAACTATACATATAATTAGAAACTGGCTATTGATCTGCTCCTGAAGGCGTTATCAATTAACTACAATCATGGACAAAAGTCTTGGGACAAATTTGTACTTTTGGCGCTTTTGCACACACGCCAGACAAGAATACAACTTTACTTGCCTAACCTCTCCCCCCACCCCGGATACAATGTTTAAAACTATGTAGTACCGGTAATTTCTCCTTATTTTCAACATTGTATTGGGTGGGGAGGGGAACAGTAACGCATTTTTAAAAGGATTGCAGACTTTTTTTTTTCAAACTTCAGTTGTGAAACAGTTAATTCGTTACATTACAGAAGTGTCCCAAGGACTTTTGTCCACGATTGTAGGTAGTAGGTTTCACCGGCATTGGAATCCCGTTTACTGAAACCTCAGAGAGTTTTTGTGTGTGTGTTTCATTGCTATTGCTTTACATTGGAAAGTTACATTTTCTTCAGCTTTTTTTTTTTTTTTTCCCATCGTTGTTGTGTTTTTTGCAGCAAATGTTACTGAACGCAGCTAAAGACGTGGCGTCCGCCCTAGGAGCGCTGATCAACGCGACCAAGAATGCATCCGGAAAACCCAACAACGACCCCTCCACTGAGGTGCTCAAGACAACTGGAAAGGTACTGTATTGGTATCAAAACCCACCCACCCTACCTTGTGTATCAGCTCCGAATCTTTAGTGGCATTCATAGCGGTCAATCGTTTCGCGTGTACAGAGCAATTGTCACTGACCATTGCGTATTAATGGTCCTTCACTTCCAAGCCGAGAATGAGGCATACACTGAATCGTTAAGCTTTTTACTCCCCGACACATGAATTCGTAGTTAATGTCAGTTGTAAATACCATGAACTAGTTTTGTCGCCTCAGTTGGATATGTGGCTTAAGCGTTCTGCACATGAGTACTCTAACAAAGCTAAAGACAGTGAATTTGCTGTCTCTGTGTGAGTGTGGTGGCTGAAGAATCAAATTCGATACATGTAAGATATCTTTTCAACAAGAGTTTAGTTGCGTGCTTGTGTAGTGACTGTAGTTGGATTTTTTTTCAGGCGATGGTAACCAACGTGTCTTCGTTGCTGAAGACTGTTAAGAGTGTGGAAGATAAAACTCTTAGAGGTACAAGAGCCTTGGAGTCTACAACAGATGCTGTTAAACAGGCTGTACTAGTAAGTGTGTTTTGTTCCGCCATTCCATACCATTCTATCAACAGTGTACGCTGTCTCCCTCGGTTTTCACCGACAGTGTATGTAACTCGGTGACACGTTGTTATCTATATAGGGGAAATAACGTTGCACAGGTTAACGCGAGGTCAAGGTTAATGCGAGACAGCTTCTAATATTTATTGAGTCCTTTAATTAAGAGCCTTTCAATCGTGTAAAACTACAATAACTGTCTGCAGTNACTCTGTTTTATTCTTTGTAACGAAATTGTTTCTTTTAGAGAACATAAATATAGACAGACGTTTCTGACTCGTCATGTTTGAAATTCGCCGAGAAATGGTTCAATAGGGAACATACCTAATGTTAGCGAAGTTTCTTTTTTGGCAAGCGTGATGAGTAGGTCACGCGCAAGTCACGCTTTCTGTGTCTTTCTTGTATTGTGTGATGATCTTAAGAGAGACTATTCGCATTCTTTTGTAATGTTTAACATCACGACATTTCTACACTAACAGATTGTACAGAAACCATCTCACGAAAAGAAACAGATGTTAACACCACAGTCGAAGGTTGTGGCGGACAAAGTAGCTAAACTTGTCCACTCCGCTGAGGCGCTTAAAGGTAAAAAACGTCGGTATTCACAGCGGCCACCATCGAGGAATGCTGTAGTGTTCGTTTAAAACAGTTTCCTATAGATATGAAATACCACTCTAACGAAAGTTGCATACTCGTGGGATACATGCCGAGAGATGTGTTTTTGTTTCTTTTTGTCATTAAAAGCGGCAAATGGCGATTGATTAATAAGAAAAACAAGTTCCACGAAGGGAGCAGATTTTTTGAACATGGATTCGAAAAGTGGAAGATGCAGAACAAAGCGCTTTTTAGCGGTGGAAGTCGTAGCTTCCTACAGTAGCCATGACCGTTTTAGACATTTCAAGAAATACCTACAAACCACTAAAAGGATCTTGGGTACTTTCCGCTCACCAAAGAGTGTCTGCTTATTATAGGTTTGACTCGATTCGACTGTGCTTCCGAAATCGGTTACTACACAGAAAATAATGAAAAGAAAAATAATAATGAAAAAAGACAGTGTCAACATGTAGGCTGTATGTTCTTTCTCAAGACATCTCTACCAAATTTCTTTTAGTACTGATATCTAGCAAGCCTGTTATGTACATTGCATTTTTGACTAACACCACAAACACACCCCACGCACTAACTGTTGTGGTTATTTCAGGTTCTAACTGGGTCAATCCTGAAGACCCCAATGTCATTGCTGAAAACGAACTCCTTGGCGCTGCTGCTGCGATTGAAGCGGCTGCGAGAAAACTGGCCGAGCTTAAGCCCAAGCCAAGACCTAAGGTAAAACCGCTTGCCTGTGTGGAATGGACGTGCTAAATGTTGGAGCAGGGTTTGAGTGATTGCTTCTGAGCTAAACATATTTGTAGGATTTCATCATACTCTACTGACGATCGTAAATGTCGTTCTAAGCCAACGTGAAAAAGTCAGTCGACGCGAGAAAATGTATAGCCTTCAGTTTAAAAACCGTTCCATCAGCGTAAAAATCTGTTCTATAGCCAGACAGGAAACATTCTAGTGACATGTGGGTGGAACAATTGCATACCTATTTAATCCCAGGAAGTACGTCAGTCTGCTTCACGCTTCCTTGTTTATAAATATCATCTTCAGGAAGCTAAAGCTTGTTTTAACATACCGAAAATCCTGATCGCTTGAGAACTCTTGAAAAATGTCGAAACTGGTACTTTCCAAATTCCACTGGTGTTTTCCAGAGGATATCTCTCTTGATGTCAAATGAGATTCTCCTAAGTGACATTATAAGATACGTGTGGCGACGATTAAGGAGAATATGTGTGTTGAGATTTGTACGCTTCATGCTGTTGGATTGTCTTTGTTTTTTTAGGAAGCAGACGAGTCACTGAACTTTGAAGAACAAATCTTGGAAGCTGCTAAAGCCATCACAGCTGCAACTGTAGCACTGGTGAAATCTGCATCAGCCGCGCAAAGAGAACTGGTAGCGAGTGGCAGGGTAAGCCGCTGTTGTTTGAAGCTTGCGGTTGTTATAAGGGAGACTAGCTATGCTAGATAAGAGGCTGTAGTGTCTGTTAGTTCGACTGCGAATGCATACTGGGCAATTCAAGGCGGCGTTTCACGTATGTTTTGTTGATATTAGTTTACCTCTTTTATAATGCACAGCAAGTTAGAACACACTACTTAAAATACACTACTTACAAAGTAGTACTTATACTACTAACAATACGGTACTAAAACGACTTAAAGATATTAGTTTACTTCTAACCCACGGACCGGTCTTCCAGGTGTGTTCGGCATCCACTGATCCCAGTGAGGATGGCCAGTGGTCTCAAGGGCTTGTGTCTGCGGTAAGTGATGCTGTCAATGTTTGTACAATTGTGAGATCTCCTTTTTATTGCTTATTTGGATCATCACCCATTGCTTATTGTCACAACGGTTATCTGGTTGTCACGCAGCTCCTCACGGCGAGAAATGTTGTTTGGGACTTCATTGGGAGCCTGGGAGGAGCGTGGCGTGATGGCTCAAATAAGTGCTGTTCTTGAGAAGTATTGCGTGACGACTAAAATACTGATCACGTGAATTTAATTTCAGGCGCGCATGGTTGCAGCGGCCACGACGACATTGTGTGACGCTGCTAACGCTGCTGTCCAGGGTAACGCAAGTGAGGAGAGGTTGGTCGCAGGCGCTAAACAAGTGTCAAATTCCACCGCCCAACTGTTGCTAGCTTGTAGAGTGAAAGCTGATTCTAACAGTGAGACGCAAAGGAGACTGCAGGTACGTGTTTTAAGGTATTGATGACATGAACCCTACCTATGCTAACGTCGAGCGTTTGTTCATGTTTTTCTCCTCTTCCTTTTGTTTCCATACTTCTCTTCTTGTTTGAAATTATTTTACATTGTAGTGTGATTTGCTGTACTATAATGTATTATTCTTCTTCCCAGACTGCTGGCAATGCCGTCAAAAGAGCTGCGGACAACTTGGTAACCGCGGCCAAGAGTGCAGCCATCTTTGAAGAACAAGAAACCACGGTCGTTATCAACCAGCGTTTCGTTGGTGGAATTGCGCAAGAACTTGAGGCTCAAGAGAAGATTCTTCGTATCGAGAAAGAACTAGCTGCAGCAAGAAGTAAATTGAGTCAAATAAGACAGGCGAAATACAGACCAGAAGACGACGACTAAACTCAAGAAAAATGAATCTATGGAATAATTTAATATTTGTAAAAATAAACCTAGGCTGCTAGTGAGTGTGACCGACAATTACCACGATAGAAATTGCTCCAAATGTTTTCAGTATAGCTTACATGTCTTCTGGTAATTTTAGATAGTATTAGTGCAAAATAATGTTGGTCTTTGATTAGTTTCTTAGGTTAATCTTAAACTGCATTAGAAATGACAGAGAAAAACAGTAGTAAATCAAGTTTAGTTTGGACTCTGGAAGAGAATCGGTTACATTATTTTAAAGATCTTCTCAAAGAGGCAGAGTGGTTGTTTGCCTCGTGGCTCTCGTTAAGAACCGATTGGTAAAGCCTCGCTGATAAAGAACTGCGTGACTTGCGCAAACTCGAGAACGGCCGTCGCGTGACAAGCATAATGCAACGGCTTGTCACAAAATGTGTCATTAGGATAACTGTGACGGCAAATGCATATCTAACAAAGAACTTATACGTGTTTAAGGTGCGTAAGTCAACATTTTTGCAGAAATCTATTTTTCGTTGATATTATTATATTTTTCTGTAATACAGAAGTTTTTGTTCTCATTTGGTTCCTTGTATTGCCTCTAGATTTTGTGAAAATAACTTTTTTCGTTTTGTAATATTTTGCTATTAAAATAATCAGATTACATTACTTAAGTATATCCAAGACAAGGTACCGCATACTAGACATATATATACTAGATAAGGAGTTCTACTGGTAGTATTGCTTTTTGTAGACCTAAGCTGACGATGACCACGTTTTTCGGTTTTTTACTTATTACCGGTAAGCAACAAATTCATTGTAAACTGTTACATTTTCTGTGGTTTGAAATTTATAGATTTCAATCAGGAGCTTTGTATTCTAGGACTTCTAGCTACTTCTAAGATCAGTCATTCAGTGTTCTGTGATTTAAAGTTACTAGACAAAAACTGGTTTTGTGTGAAGATATTATATTGAACTAGCTTTATGAAGTCATTTTGTTTTGCGATGTACAAACTAACAAACGGTAAAAAGTTAACACTTGGAATTATTGCCCGGTTGAGTATTGTAGGAGCCAAGTTATGAGTAAGAATGTCATGTTGTTGTCTCTCCATGTATTAATCAAATTAAATAATTGACTAGCGAATATATACACATTTATCAGTTTGGAAATAATCTTCTTGAGATAACGTGGAATGCTACAAAGGAAAATTAAATAATTATTTTGCTTAATAAAATATTGTGTCCCTTGTTTTTATTTAGAAAAGTTCCTATACAGCTCCCTCTTTAGCCCCCAATAGAATTATAACATGAATTAAGTAATACTAGAGTGGTTTTCAATTGAGTGTCGAAAGTAATCAGACTATTACTTTGGTTTTATTACGGTTTGAGTTTGGCTGAGTAGTCTAATTGGTAAGTAATTGGTTTGGTGTTGGTTTTACGACTCACTCTATCCTCTTACACTATCATTTACTTCTCACCATGCCAGGACTCGTTTTTAATACTCTGTAAAATAAACGTTGAGATCGACAAGGGAAAAGTGACAACTCCCACCCACCCACCCCATACCAGGCATAAGATCGAGGAGACTGTTACTTGACAGACACGTGCTTTGGGATCGTCATCCAGAGGGGATGCATGACCAGTTCTACAGGAGTTGGTTAAAAAGGGGCTCCACTGCACCCCTTTTATTTGGGCGTGGCAAGGTACCATGGCTACAAATGACAGATCTGCATAGTGTGTTCACGTGACGTCATCAAATTGTCAAATCCAAAACCAAAGAGCCACTAAAGGTTTTATTCTCATCAGGCATAAGAGGTACTAAATTCATAACTGTTTACAACTTTCCAGCTCAGTAGCGTCCTTCGTTTGGAAACCAGCGCATTTTGAATTTCTGAGTTGTGGCGGTGTGTGACATGAAGCTAATATTGCGTTTGTCGAATAATATACAATTATCTCGTGAGTTTTAGCCATTTCAGGAGGTAAAGTATTAGGAAAAGTGCTTGTGTAAATGCTTTTTGGTTCGGTTCAGATAATCAGTCGACTCTATAGCCAAAGTAAGTTCCAGATGTTTACACAATTTTCCGGCCGCCATATTGGAGGACTATGGAGGTCCACCAACATGGCGGCCCCATGCAAGGCTCTATAATTTTGCGCGGAACATTTCGACGAATATCTCAACTTTGGGACGAAGCACACATCTTAAACTTGGAGAACTGTCTTCTTTATTTATCGTCTATAACATTGCAATTTCTTGACTATATCCACGGAATGGTTTTTGATTTTAATTTTAATTGCGTGACAATGAACACACTCTATACAGCTTCAACATTTCTTTATTCAAAAGTAGTAAAATCTCTACCCTGCTGTTCCTTATAATAAATACATAATACAGTAACAAAATAAAAGCCATACTTCCTAATCAGCTGAAATCAAATAATTTAATTCAATAACACCAGCAGGTTTTGCCTACATTACAATGTGGACACTCAAATTAAGACCATTTGACATTTTCAGTACATCTTTGGGGGGTGCCTGTAAAATAAGGACTCTTTAAAGAATGTAAATACTTTTGTTGATAAAAGAGCCCTCATTCTGAGCTTTCCCCCAAGAATGTCAAGTGTTCCTGGATTGAATCCACACTGTAATAAACTTGAACTTCTGATTGATTTTTCCTTGATCATTAGTGATTTGCTGTCATATTACAAATAACTTCCTTGCATATATATACTACAACAGTAAGTCCCATTTACATCCTTGTTTGGTTATTTCCTTTACAAAAATATGTAATTGTTGACGACTATGTCCAAAGATTTTGCAACAAAATATACAATGTAGTTTCTTCTTTCCTGGGTCCCTTGTATTCATGTATCCCCTGTCATAATGGCCAGAAATTCCTCTTCATTTACTGCAGCAAAATAAACAATACGATAGCTTCAGTCAAATTGAAAATCATCAAAAACACTGACACAAGGCCATTCATGATCACCTTCCTACAGAACAAATGTAATCATCTTGGACATTACAACCCTGATACAGAGCCACTTCCAAATCAGCATACATACATGTACCATAATGATTCAATGTAGTATCTTCCTTCCAAAAAGTGCCCCCTGACAGCCAATATGTAACAATACTTAATGAAAAATAACAGACACTTCATCTCAAGCCTGGCTTTTATATCCATATTGTTCAATATTATACAATTGAGAAGAGAGAGAAGACTTCTCCAACTCGTTAATAATTCATCAAGTTAAAACAAAGAAAATCGCAACCAATGTAGGAGGTTTGGATACCCGTCTTAATGAGTATAGAGTTTGATAATTACCGTTTACTCCTTAGTTTTTGTTTCGATTGAGAAGATATATCAAACACTAAAGACAGTGTTTCATCGGCTATCCTAACACCTGAAATTTTGTCAAAAATACTCCGCTGTGCATCATATTTTCAACTCTCTTTCTTGGTGTTTGGATATCCCAATGAAATACTTGTCTCTCATGTTTGATATATTACTTCATAAACTTTGACTTAATGTTTGGGGTACTTATCAGAACAGGGAGGCTTATTAACAACAGAAACACTCACAAAGAGATTAGTGCTTGTTATAAAGGGGGAGGGTTTTCTATATGAAATAAAGTAGCAGGAGGAAATTGTAAAGTAGGCGGAGCACAACTGGCTTGCCATAAAGACGGCCCTGTGGGGATAAGTCCTGAAGTAGGTTAACCACTCCTGCATCAGGGAGACAGGGTGCCAGACCTGGAAATGTTTGAAAATCTGTGTGCGATGAAGCGCATTGTGGTGAATTTCTAGTACACAAAAGTGATCTTGTTAGAGGCCGCTGTACTCTTTATAGAGTGACCCTTCTCATTAATGGCTGCCAATTAGAAATTCATTTGTAGGTACTACAATTAGCCAGACTAACTTTGTTTTTCAGTTAATCATGTACACACTACAATGTATCAAAACTAGAAATTAAAGCAAAACAAAACAGCTCTACATGCCACACTGAAACAGGCTGCAAGTAAATTAGAAAGGAACTCACTTTCTCCGTCACCATCTTTATCAAACTCATCAATCATGGCACGAAGCTCCTCGTCTGTCATGTTCTCACCCAGTTCTCTAGCTACTCGTCTGAGATTCCTCAGGCTGATCTTGCCACTGTCATCATCATCAAATAACCTAAATGCTTTGAACACTTCTTCCTGGGGATCTCTGTCCAGCATCCAGTCTGTCACTAAACAAATCAGAAACAAAGCCTTGAAAATGGATGCAATTGTTGCAACCATTAGTTTGTAAATTGTATGATAAAATGTTGTCTGTTTTAAATTATTTTTTTCTTTCATTAAGGTGGGTTAAGACTATAAATAATACAATTTTTCCTTACATACAATTAGGTTTACCAACTGGGAGCTGGGCACATTGTAAGTTCATAATATAACCAGTTGGTAGAGTACTGCACTGGAATCGTAGAGGTCATGAATTTGAATCCTGTTCAAGCCTAATTTTTTTTGGCTATATAACTGCGATGATCAATCATGCTTTCATACCTTTCTCAGCAGATTATTGATATTTTCCCTTTTACCTTCACCATCTACGGGTATATTACAAACTCACAATATGACAAGCCCCCAGTTGTCTTAATAGCTCAGTTGGTAGAACACTGCTTCAGTATCGCATAGGTCCTGAGTTCGAATCCCCTCTGAGCCTGAATTTTTTTCAGCTTTAATTTGCAACTGCTGAAGTTGTGTATACAACTGCGATGATCAATCATGTCTTCACAAAGTATATCATCATCAACCACCACACAGTACAACCATACAGAATAAAGCAATCCTATACAAAGCAACACTGCAAGCTCTTGTGTATAACCCAGGGCCAGAGAGGTTGACATGAGCCAGACTGGAATGAGTCATTGGGCCCAGCAAACACCCATTCAAAATTCAACAGTGTCTACATGTACATATAACTTCACCAGATACAATCAATTCACCAGGTACAATTAATTTAATAAGCCATCTGCAGTATAACAGCCAAACTTTTCCCATCTGGTGCTCCTAGCCATTGACTAATCTCCTACTTAATAATAACTTCACTTGTATACCAGTGGATAAATACATGTACATGTAATATCATATGAAAAAAATAACTGTACAGTGTACAGGATTATTCACTGCAGATCCCTTCATAAAAAAAATTTCCTTTATGCGTACATGCATTTGCACAGTTGTAAAAGCATAACTGATTTGTAGCCTTTCACTTGTGGTACATTTATATGCTTGTACTTACTGACTTCATTGAAGTCATCAAATGTAATTTTGCCTGAAGCTTCTCTGTCATAATCCTTCATGATTTTTAGAACATCAGCCTTCTTCACATCAAATCCAAGAGCTCTCATTGCAACCTGTGAAATAACGAAAGTAATTAGCACATTAGTTTAAAAATGTTCTCTTTTCCATGCACTAGATGATCCAGACTGCTATCTTTTCAAAAACAAGCCTCCCTCCCAAATCATTGGCGCAAAATGTATTTTTACAAATTAGGTCTTCCCATAAGCAAAAATGAGCTAACAGGCTGCTAATCAAGACTTGATATACATGTACATGTACTGGTGTAAGTCTGTTACACATTGTACAGTAATTCTGTACTTTATATTGTTTTTGTTTTTTTTTTTGTATTTTATATTGTTACATAAAATGTACATAACACTGTAAAAGACATTTTTAACTGTATATTTATTGTGACTGAAAAGCCTCTTCTGTGTTTCATATATTGTGATATGCACAAGAAAACACTCTTGATTTCCTTTAAAATAAATTGATGACTGTGCTACAAGACCCAGCATGTGCATGGACATCATGTACACGTACCATGCGATATTTTTACACGCAAGAAAGTGCTTGTAGAATAGGGCTTTTTTTTTTCCAGAGTTTAGCAAACAGCCTTTTTCTGATGCTACCCTAGCCTGTCACTTATGAGAACATACACTTCCTGAGATTTTTATCATTCCTGCAGGCTACATGTACATGTACAAGTAGTTCTACTTTCTCGATAAATCAATTAATATGGACCAGTTCCTAAATGTCAAGGGATAAAAGCAAAGAAACATTGAACCATGACATGAACCACGACATGAGACAACTCGAATGTTCATGATCAATTGTTTACCTTCCTAGATTTGTAAATTATCAACAATTGGTCATCTTACATGAATGTAATTTGAAAAAAGGAAGAAGTACACACTAAAAAATGCCAAAGGCATTCTCAAAGCACAAGCTCAAAGTGCTTTTGTACCTCATACAACTATATCAAGGATGTTTTAATAATCTCTTCTTTCATGCTCTCAAAGGCACAAATGGGACTGACATTTAAATGACATGGCACTTAACTTGTCAAAACCATTAATTGAATTTTCTGACAAGCAGAATAAAATTAAAAATTGGTTGTTATCATCTGAAGAAAATTGCACTCTTCTTACAATGCTCAGCAATTGAAAGCTGAACAGGACTCTGTTGAACAGTCATTCCCACCCAATCCCAAATTATGCTTGATCAACACATAGCTGCAGACAGTGAGTTTTCAAATCAAATGCCCTCCAAAACAATACTCTTTCACTGGATATTTCGGCATGAGATATGTGTATAAATCTGAGAAGAACAATGTGCATGTTGATGCAGATCAAACCAAACGCAGTCTTTTGAAACCTTCCAATCGAGTCACAAAACTTCTCGAAACTGGATGAACATTTTGTTATTGTTATTAAACTGCAGAAAATTTCGTATGCTGTTTGAATAAATAAAGAACAGGAAATTGAACACCGACAGATTGCGTTCAAATTTGAGATGTAAATGAACAGAAACACGTCACCTATTTGTATCCATGTGAAGTACTTCTTTCCAGTATAAGCGATACATGTAGGCTTACGTTTTTGTCAGCAGAAAACGTAATTGACCTTCGGAGCAGGCCTTCGCTGGTCATCACCTCGCTATTTTCTGGCGGGCCAGAAAAGGCTATAAAACGGCCCCAGACGTCGATTTTAATTCCACCGAACTGCAGCCATTGTGATCTTTATGAATGGTTTCAATTCACCGGTTTTGTTTCCTGACAATGCCGAAAGAATAATTTCTTAAGTATAAAGGTCAATTAGTAGAAAAGTCCTGCTCAAAAAGGAGGTCACACAATCATTAGCGAAACAAAAGAGAAAGCAATTTCAAAAATCCCTCCCCAGTACTATTACGTTCTACAAATTAAACCATTTTAAGTCATCAAGATCAGTGAAAAATCCTTTAAAGTTGATCGTTTAAGGTATGCGTTACCTTGAGTTCATGGTAGTCTATCGCCCGATCCTTGTCTGTATCGAACAAGTCAAAAGCCTCTTTGATTTCTTGTTTTTGCTCCTCGCCCAGCTCGCGCCGTTTGCCTTTTGAGCCTCTTCCTTTGCTGAAATCAGGCGTCTTTAGCGAAAGACTCATCTCTGCTAGCTATGATGGCTCCGATTCAAAGTTTGAAAAAGTTACGGCGGTTTTCGAAGCTGTTGTTGACGCTGTGATCGTTCACGCGCCTGTTGCTTTGGAAAATGACGCGCAAAATGCGATTGGCGGTTAGACCCTTGGAACGCATGCGTATGTCAACATCATGAGCTCCCAATGTTTTGTGGGACAGGTAATCAAAATGGCGGACGAAGAGTGAGTTTTTCATTCCAAAAGTTTGGTCAAGTTTCTTTGCTGATTTTTCACCATGAACCCGCCTGATTTACGCTACATCGTCAAAACAACCATTCTAAAGTATTTAGTTTGTAGCAGTGACATCTCACGAGATCATTTGGTGATGCTGGAGTATTTTCGAGGTTGGGGTCAAGGTGTTTTCGGCGACGACATTCTTACACAGATCATTGAAGACTTTCCCAGTCAACTTACTGATGAACTGCTAGTTATTCTGACACCTCCTCATCTAAGACATCTAAAACTCACCAACTGCACTCGTCTGTCGTGCAATGGACTTCAAAAGACAGTCGCGAAGTATGTGTGTTTTGAATGCTGTTACGCTGTTCTCGTATCAGCTGTTGTATATGAGTTTGACAGTGATGAAGTGTTCTCGAGATTCGATCATGACCTAGTCAACCTGGGTTAAAATCCACCCATGCACATTTAACATGTAATTTTTCAATGCCAGTTGATGCTTAAGGTCATGACTTTTAATTTCCTGCATGTGCATGTACGTATGCAAAGTGTTGAAGTGCCCCTAGCCCCACATTTTCTATATTTATTTGAAAAAAGAATACATAATTTGGTGAAGATTATGTATAAATTTTTATTGTAGGTGTCAACAGCTCCAGGCACTTGACTTCAGTGAATGTGTTCATCTTCTTCATCCAACTGTATTTTGCTGTATCAGAGAAAAAGCTACAAACCTAGTGTCTCTGTCCTTAGAAAATTCAGAAGTTGTCTCTGATGACATAGTTCAGGTTTGTTGCAAAATTGCAGGGTTTTTTTTTCTTTAAAAATTGAGCATTAAGCATGTCATGAATGCCTGTGGAAATGAATGTGTTGTGGATTAATTTTGATTTGGTTGGGAATTTTCTATTTTCCTTTTTTTATTATTCACTATTCATTCATATTATTCACTATTTATTATAATCTAACAAAAAGTAAGCTACAAACTACATTTATTTCAAAAATTTCAGGCCTTAAACAAGTATACAGTGTAAAGTGTAACAAATGTAAAGCATGTAATTTCTTTTCCAAGAAACTGTGGAGCCAGGTAAAAGGTTGTTGACCTTTTTTGCAGCTACATGTTTGTGTAGGTTTTCGGCACAAGTTATCCTGCTCCATTCAGAAGACCTCTCAGAAAGACATTTTCCTGTTGGGTGACATTTTTGAAGATGTTCTACATATACATGTAGTTCTTCCAACCGGAGTGGAATCTGTGACACTTTATCAATGACCTTCTATATAACAGTCAAGAGGCTCAGTGTTATAATTGCTAAGTTAAATATGTGATCAGATATTTTATAATATACAATCAATACAATAATCATGTAATTCAATGTTTTCAATTGCCGTTTCAGAATTGTTCTGAAGTTATGTTTCCTGTTTAGGTGGCCTTGATGTGCTGTCCTTTCTTGAAACATCTCAACCTTTCCAGCTGTAAAAGCATAACTGATGCTGCTTTTGCACTCTCTAATACCAAGAACAACACATCAAGTACAGCTTCTTCTAATAACTCACCTCAACCTGGACGTAGTCTCACCAGCATTGATATATCAGGTTGTCAGTCACTGTCAGCTGTTGCAGTAAAATATCTTGTGGGTTTATGTGGGGCTAATCTAACCAGCATCAGTCTTGCTTGGACAGGAATCAATTGCACAGCACTGCTGTATCTGGCAGGACTGAACATGGAAAAAGTGGCAAAGATGATGTGCTGTGCCGATCTTGTACAAACTGATTCTGTTCCATCATCAAGTGAGGCAAAACAGAAACTTGCATGTGCTAATCTTGATGAGTCATGCAAGGCATTGTATGGCAGTCAAGACTTCTCAACACAAGGCTTTTTAGGTTCTAATCCAGTAGAAAAGTCTGCAGAAGATACTTATGGCTTCAGTGATAGTCAACTGAATGAGATGGAAGTGTCAACACTCAAGAATGTCCTACCCATCACATGTGAACCTTCATTGTTGCAATCAACAGAGGGCATCCTACATCTACAAGAATCAAATGAACCTTCTGAGGTGCCTTGCCATGAAGAGTTGACCTCTGATGTTGATTTAATACATACATGTAGTAGTTTCCTACCAGAAAAGGTAACAAGCAGCACAGTGCATGAAAAGGAGAGCACATTAAGTGATGAACAGTTACGAGAAACAGAAGATAAAGAAACATGTGTGCATAGTGATGAAGACATCGTGAAGAAAGCTGCTGATATGGAAAGAACATTTCAATGCTGGGATGTTCCTTCTGAAGTTGAACCTTTGAAGGACTCAAAAATGAAAGATGAATCTTTCAACAATGTGTTATTACCTTCTGTTCAAGAACAGAGTCTCTTAAATGGATTGAAGACTGTGCTCATGAAAAGAGAGCACAGTATCGAAAGAAATCCCACAACATTGACTACTACTAAGAAATCTATTGGAGAACTTGAAACAGAGGACATTCCTGAAGATGGGTTTGATATCGAGAGTCATCCTGTGGAAGATCAGTTTAACCATGGTTATGCAGTTGGAATGAGCAGTTTGAGAATGGAGTGTGACATTCCTAGCATGCCAACAGTAGTGTTGACACTTCCAAGCATTCCATTGGTCAATGGAATGGAGCCTGAAACTCCTACAATACCTTGTGAGAAAGTCAAGGTGAAGGAGTCAGTTGTTATAAGTGAAGAATCTGGCCATCCAATTGTGACACCAGCAGGAGTGAAACATGAGAACTCTGTTTGTCCAATCATACCTTCAGTGGAATTACACAAAATGGATGAAGAAGCAGAATGTGAGGAACCCAGAATACATTGTAAGGTGGAAGGAGTGGAGAAATCTGTTTTGCCCATGGTACCTTGTATGAAAGAAACAGACTACAATAATGACAGCCTTTCCACCATTCCATGCATAATGTCTGAAACTGCTGAATCGTCCACTTCATCTATCACTGCTCGCAAAGATGAAAAGGGAAGGGAATTTGACCACTCTATTACAACTTTTTGGGAAGATGAAGCTGTGTTACTTGATTGTGAGACAGAACAGGATGAACAATCAAGTTACTCTGTAATAGTTCCTGATATAGGAGCCACTGCAGAGAAAAGTTTGCAAGACTGTACATTGTCACACAGCAAAGTCATTCAAGTTACTGATTTGCTTCAAGCACAGTTGTTTCAGCCACAAATTACAAGTTTGGACATCACTAACATGTGGTATCAGAGCAAACCTTTAGGTCAAGCATGCTTGAAGATATTTTCAGATGCCAACAAATGTTTGAAGAATTTTGCAGTTTCGTGGTCTGAATTGGATGACAGAATGTTGACATATCTCCTCAAAAATGAACCTGAGCTGGAGTGTTTGTCTCTGGTATGTTGGACATATTAAATGATTCCATTTCTTTACTTATTGACCCTTTGTAGATCTTGTCACAAGATCTTTTCATTGCCAATTCTAAGACAACTAATACACATGTATACATATAAGTTTGAGATGAAAGCAATGGGGTATTTGAAGATCTGGAGTGTGCTGGAGCAATGTATCCAGACAAATTGATTCTGATTTCTTATAATATGGTAAATCATCTGATTATACACTGTGCATATGTTGGTAAGTCTTGATAAGAGGTTATTCTGAATCACACACTCGGGTAGTTCTTTCACCATTAAAATATAGCCTGTGAAGGAACTGCTAAAGAATATTTTTGACATAACCTGTAAAAATATGGGCACCCTAAAGTCACTGGGCTGTCATATTGTGCTCTTGAATGACTTTGCAAGTAAATTGCAACTAGAGTAGTTTTGTACTCTCTCCAGATTTTGCTGTCAAATATTTCAAGAAGTCATCTCCATGATTAGATGTGACTCTCTGTTGATTTCAGCACAACACATACAGTAGAAGGATCGTTCATAGCCAAGCAATCAGTATTATCTCTTTCTCCATTGTCCTTCATCTTAGTAACCAATATCACTGCAGTATTTGCTACTTGTATTCAGGCTGTGAACACCCAAAGACTTTTCTTTTCTTCAGGGAGTTACAAACATAGTGTGAATTTTGTTGCTGCACTTAACACTTCTTTGTGTACTGTGTCAACTTTATGATCTGGGTTATCCAATACTTTTGAGATATGGGACACTCTATTTACAATAATATTGTTATTGACTTGTTTTGTTTTATTAGGTTGACTGTGAAAAGCTTAGCAATATTTCTCTGAGCTCCATTCCTATACACTGCCCCAAGCTGAGCAGTTTTGACCTCAAGGGTATGTGTTATGTTACTGATCATGGTCTCATGCCCCTGACAAGGAGCAATCATCTTCAATCATTGTCTCTGGCTGAAGCTCCCATCACTGATTGTACACTTGACACCATAGCAAAGGGATGTGGAGCAAAGGTAAGGTGCCAGAAAATGTTAGTGGGGCAGTCTGTGATGAATAGATTGCCCAAGAGAACTATACTGTAGGTACACAGCAGGTATTACTGGCATCATGTACAGAGGAAACTGTACACATAGTAGCCTGTGAGCAAGTTGTCTGTATCGTAAGAGAACTTGCTCACAGGCTGTAGAGCTGAATTAGAGCCGATTACAGTAGTCTACCAGGAGGATCAGAGGTACAGTGGCCTAATAGTGATTGTGCTGGAGTCTGGATTAGAGGATTACATACATTGTAGGTGGAGGGAGGGGTGGGGGTAGTGTGAGATCTGGACGGCGACAATACAATGAGGGTATTATTTTAAGCTTATTTGACAGTGGCCAAGCGCAACTCCCTAACAGTTATCACAGTAATTTTATAGCTATATCTATTTTTGCAATAATGTACATATAATTTTTTTTTGCTTTTATTAGTTAAAAGTCTTGGATATTTCTTGGTGTGAAGACGTCACAGATCAGGGAATGTCAATCATCGCAAAAAGCAGTTGTTCCCTTCAACACCTCGGCCTGCGCCAATGTGCTGCCTCTAAGCTCACTCTTAACACACTTGCGAATAATTGCCATCTTGTTTCATCGCTAAACATTGCTGGAATTGACAACTTAACAGACGCAGCACTCGGCAGCTTGGCGGAAAACATGCCGCTGCTTACAGAAATAGATGCGAGCTGGAATTCGAGTTTGTGTGACACGGGGATCAGCGCCCTGTTAAGATGCTGCAACAAGCTCAAAAAGGTGGTTTTATGTGGATTAAAACTCATCACTTCTCAGCCCTTCCTGGGGATTATTGGAGATTTGAAACGCTGGCAGTTGTTGGAAGAGTTATGGCGGTGCAGCAGGAGACCCCAGACTAGTTCCTCTCAAGGGAAAGTTGCTTTGAAGACCTGTGACTTGGTGAGTTCTGAATTATAGAAGTGACAGTTTCTTAATGTTGCTGGACATGACAATTATAGTCAACCTGGCGCTATGAAACTATGGTTCTCCTGGAGTAATTCCTACAACTATGTATTTATATGTATACTGCTACGAAAATTTGGCAGCAATGCATGTATGTATTAGCAATGGATTATAAGTGCATTCTGATTGGTTGATAGCTACTGACTATTAAATTTTTAATGGTAAACAACAAATGAACATGGAATCATCATCATAGAAATCATAGAAATACGTTGTGTGTTGTTTAAATAGTAAACCGTAATAGAAACAATTAGGTTCGTTGATTTGCAGTTGCACACGAACATGCCTTATTTCGTTTTTATCCCGTATTTGTAAGTGGACAAAGTGTTTTGGCTCACACTCTCTTTTGGCGTCTTTTCTTGCCAGGCACAACTCAGGAAAAGAAAAGCTGCTTATTCGTGCTTTATATAAACAAAAACTTATGCTATCCCTTTCGTTGCAGGAAACAGCCAAATCACTGGGAGATGAGATCCCATCTCGCTCCATGTCTTACGCGCCATCGTTACGTCATATGGTACTTGAGTACAGCGACAAAGTGAACGATGACCACCTGGCAGCAATTGTAGCAGTCTGTAGGGGAACTTTGTATGTGAAAGATTATTATGGACAGCAAATTGAACCCAAATGGATATTTCGATAAATTAGCAACTAATAATATGTAGTAACAATTGGACCTAGGTTTTCATTCATTAGGACAAACACTTCCCTTTGCCCGTTCCCTTTTCATCCATATCGCTTGTGCAAGTCAGTTGATTTAAGATGCCTTCCCATCGTTAGATAATAATAGCAATCATTTTGATCAAGCTTTTTCAGTCCAAATATAGAAATGTTGTCCTTGTTCAGTTGTCTTTGTTCACACTCGAACCAAATATTTCAACACCTGACCATGTACAGTGGAAGCAAAATCTCACTTAATGGCCTTAATAAAGGTAATTAATGCGATGGACAACCACTGACACAGAAAACGATAACCTGCAACTGGAATGACATTTAGAGTAGAGGAGACCGAGTAACTGTATGGGAGCTAGAAAAATACCTCTGAGAACGACGAAGAACTAGAACTCCTGTAAAAGACCCTTCATTAAAAGAATACTTTCTCGACTGCCAGTAGTACCGGCACAAAGGACGAGCTAGCGCTTCCCTTGATTGCGCTCTTTTTGACTGCGCTCCTTTGGATTGTGCTCCCCTGGATTGTGTTCATCTTGAATGTGCTCCTCTTGATTGTGCTCCTCCGGATTACGCTTTTCTGGATTGCGCCGCTCCTCTGGATTGCGCTCCTCTGGATTGCGCTCGTCTTGACTGCGCTTCTCTTGGTTGCGCTCCTCCTGATTGCGCCTGAAAATATATATATGTCTAAATCTAGTCTGTTCTAGAATAATTCCTATACTGCAATGCAAACATTTCCCTGGGTTTAAATCGTTATTTCTATAAATGATTTTTATGGTTTCATGATAAGTTTCACTACTAACGAATCGCGAAAGTTAAAACAAATCAACATTGATGAGACACAGTAGCTCACCAGCATGTAAATACTGGCCATACATTGACAAAGATTCGCTAAAATCAAAAGCCATTATAACATTTCAACACAATCATTTCCTATGATCAAACTTGCACAGGTTTGTGGGTTAGACAGCGTATTTTTGTCCCAGACCGTTTTCCCTGATACAACGATGTTACTTCATCCGTGAATACTTAATTCATTATACTTGATTAACTTACATCGGAGATCGCGGATGAGTTCGCGTTGTTGATTTAATGTACACTCGGTTTGCAAGATTAAACGTTGTGTTTCGAGGTTCTAGTACTTCAATTGTCTGTCTTAGCTAATATATGCTTATTGTAAAACAAGTTTCCTCTAGTTAAAACTGCGGGATTAGAACAAGCATTTCAAAAACTGCTTCTGGTTTTGGGAAAGTTACTGCAAGAAATTTTATCAGTGTAGTATTAAAAAACAGAAGGAAACGACAGAAATTCAGGCTACCAATATACATTTTTTAGATGAGTTCAATTCGTCGGCCGTCTTCTCGTACCGTAGGTTCATTTCAATGAAATAACAATCGTAAAGCGAATTGTTCTCGGTAGCTAGCTCAAGCTAAGCGTATATCCACGTTAAATAAAGCATTCATTCATTCATTCCTTTATTCATTCATTCGAGAAAAAGTGTAAACGGTGGCGCTCCGAGTCTACACGAAATTGATCGGAATTATACAAATTGCCAAGAAAAAAAGGTTACAACACATAAAACAACGTTCTTAACGACAGCAGAACCCTTTTCTAAATAAAAATAAAATATCTAAGTATTTCAATGACAAGTTATTAAAGCTGCAAACAATTTCTGCGGGGAAAGCGATCAGTTTCTTTAGGCGCTCACAGTGGAACAGTTCTATTTTTGAAACTGTCAAACGTGTAAAATTGATGTAAGTAAGCGAACAGGAAGAGGGGAAATTAATTGCTACTTGAATAAAACTCAAAGGAGAAAGAAAACATGGGCTTATCTGAAGGAAGCACATCGAGATGCGCTTCCTCTTAATTGTGCAGTTGCAGTAAATACCAGATTGGGTGTGTCGGCCAACTCTTCAAAATGTACCTCAATTAAAATTCAAGTATTCTTGACGCGAGAAACATGGTCATTATAAAAAAAAAACTTGAATTATACCTATTTTCTGAATGTTTCGTTTTTTTTGGTCTTCATTAGGTTTTACCATGAGACGAGAAAAGCGCGAACTTCAAAGCTTATAAGGAATGTCGTGTGCACTCTTTTTTTTAATAAGAATATATTTTATAAGAATATCGAAGCTGAAATTTTCGAAATCCTAAGTAAATTTTAAGTATAAATCGCCGGCCGAGGCTGAGATTTTGAAAAGAATATAATTTTGTGTGTTGAAAATTTGTAAATACATAGAATTATATGTTGTTAACTTAACCGTGTAAAATTAGTCCACTTTCTAAACGGCAAAACTAGCCAAAAACCAACAAAAACAGCACTAGCCGTATGTTCGATGCTAACAACATTTCTGCAAGATGTTATGTGCGTGATATTAGGCTTTAATGCCTGCAGACTGGCTCCAAAATTAATTCGGAAATATAAATGTCATCCGCTATAATCTAAGAATATCACAAGAATATTTCTGGCTAAAATCGGCAGAAAAATTGGAATATTCAGCCTCGGCCGGAAAAACAATACTGTAAAATCTCACATTAAAGCCCCCTCCCCGGTTTTAAGGCCCCCGGATATAAGTCCCTCTATTAATATTTGCTAACAAAGATATCATTCCGGATATAAGTCCATCTAATGTATAAGTGCGTTCTTTTTGATAACCTTAAGGCTTGTAGTTTTTTGACTTTCGTTCGATCTGTTCCGTTCCAGTTGTTTCAGTCGCATTCATCGTGGTGTTTTATAGATATCTATGAAATAAACTCTCCGTTTAATCGCATGAGACTCACAATAAATGTATTATAAATGTAGTAGCTCTAAATGTAATGGTATTTTAGCTTTAATTCGTTTCTCAGATACGTTTTATCTCGTCGTTCCGAAACATTTTTTTCTATTCAGTCGGATATAAGGAGCTTCCCCCGTTTATAAGCCTACCCAAAACCCCTTATTAAGTTATATAAGCCCAGAGCTTTAACGTGGGATTTTACGGTATTCTTATCGAAAAAGAGTGTATTTTTACAATTGAGTACTTCAATGGCTTTGCGGCAGGGTTTGGAGATTTTATCAGAGAAACACCCTGACAACAACTACAAATGCAAAGAGGTAAAACTGTTCGTACAGTCTGAATGTAACACTCATAGCAGTTTGAGAACAAATTTGTTTGCATTTTACGGAATGCATGTATCAACGAAATGCAAGAAAGTAGAAAACACTCGGCTTCAGGCGCGGATCCATAACGGTTTCCATCCTTTTACGAAAATTGGTCAAACTTTTCAGAACGACTTAGAAACGCAGGAAAGGCGACTTCAAGGAGTTGAAATCCATAACATTTCCTGGGGAGCATCGACCGCTCTAGAAGCTTGCATCTTCGGCGTTCATTGTTTCGGAAATCGGTCATCGTTTATCCTAGATCCCCGCCTGCTCTTCACACAAACAGTCACTGGAAAATCTAAAAACTTACTTCCGATGTGAAGACTACAAGGAGCACGTCCCCAGTTTTCAATCGTGGATGTTGGGCGAGAGGTACAAAGATCTACACATTAAGTCGTGCAAGAAATGGGACAATAATATTTACTATAATAACTATTTCTGGACATAGAGCTGATTCATGCACCTTCTCATTCAACTCTAATCCAAGTGACTCAAGCATTTGACTTCACATATTTTCCATGCAATTGCATATTTGTCCTATTTGAACATAATGGGCTTCTAGGAAAAAATTCGATGTTCACAAAATTGTTTCGGGGTTTGGGTGCGGGAGAGTTCCGACGAACAACTTTCTAAAGGAGGGTTTTAGTAGCTAGATGGCCGAGAGGGGCTTAGAAAGGGTGACTAAGACTAACGGCGCTTTCACGATAACTTCTACCACAAAAAAAAAAAAAGAAAAATTAAAATGCTCATAATTGTCATGCTGAAGTCTTCCTCTTCCCTAGCGATCCACTATAAGACTGTTACAACAAGTACCAACGATGCCATTGTGGCAAGCCGCTGACAAACGAGACTGAACTCACTTTCACTCGATGCACTCTGGGTAGGATTAGTACAAGGCGCGGGAGTTTTTAAACCAAGCAAGCTTTTAAAATGCCATTTACCGATGTTTATGTTACGGTAAATTGGACGTAATCTAGCTTTAGTAGCTATGTTTAACCACTAGCTGCTGTTGAGTGTCGCAGAATCTGTTTGACTTGTTTACCGAGCTTGAAACACTCGTCGGAAAAAAGCAGTGACAAGCTGGCCCACGTTGCATTGTGCGTAAAGGTAAGCTCACAAAATGTTGTTAGGTGTGTACGCTGTGGTTATAAACTAGTGAAAACCGGTTACGTATGTTAAAAGCAGTGCTTCATTCCCTTAAAAATTATGTTCCCATGATCAACTGTGGACCAGTTAGTAAACAAGACCTTTCGGTACAAGTTTAATAGTCAAGGCAGTCTATTATTTAGCCTGGAAGCCAGCTCATTTACCGCTTATAAACTGTGATCTACTGAAGTGTTCATTTACTGAGTTTTCTTTCTTCTGCGAAGACAAGTTCATGCGATTATTTATTATTTGAAAACTGCATACGAGTTTCAAATTGGTCCCACGTCGTTACTTTGCAGAAATTTGATAGCTGTTGATAGTCAGTGTTACAGTGAGTACATAAATAATTTTGTTAGTCTGTTTGGCTAGCGTAACAAAGATATTTGTTGTATACCTGGCCAACTATTTATATTAAAATGACAGTTTGTCTTTCTGGTATTTCAGTGCTGTTACTCCATCATCACTTATCATCACTGTAATGTTTATGAATAACGAGCAGCAAAAGGTGGGACTGAACATGTATGTTGGAACAGTTTAAGTCAGTTTTCTGACTTAACATAATCATTATTGTAATTAATTACACGACTGTACAGAGCTGGCTTGTCAATGACATTTACTATTACCTAAAAAATAGCTCCTCAGTCCTAAAAATTTCCTCTGACCTTACTCATGTACATGGACAGACCTGAGTGAAAGGCAAACTTTAGTCTAAGTCAAGTATACATCATGCCTTAAGGAAAAGAAGGTACCTTTCTTCTAGTTCTTGAATTTTTTTTGTCCAAATTCCTAGTTCTCTTGCCGAATTTCATAATTTGCTGTGGCTCGCCTTTTGGTGGATTTGCAAAACATTCTCTCCTGCTTTTGTCTGTGTTTGTTACTAATATCCTTTTTTCCTTCCAAACAATTTGTTTTTAAATTTTAACTTAAAGAGGGTAATTTGTATCCCAAAATTATATAATAAAAAATATAGGTTACCGTCATTATTCATTTCTGAGAGAACAAGCATATGTTTCGCTGTCATGCTTAGCTTGAAGGAAATCTCTTGATGTTTTGTATGTGCATATACTTGTGAGCATACACTTAAAAAAAATGATGTGAAACTCATGTGCAGTAGGGATGCGCAATGCAATACTAAGGAATCACCTCAAC